CCACGAAGGAAAGGACTAGAATTTTTTCAAAGGTGATATTTGGGATCACCTCTTCAAGGGCTATCGACTGATGTATGCTTCATACAGATATATCATCTGCTGAAACTTTGAATTACCCGCGCCTTACTACACTTACCATATAGAAAAAGTTTAATTCGATTGAAGTGCAAAATTTGGGAAGCCATTCCTGATTGTTCCAGAATTTTTTGCCCCACCTGTAGTTGCACCACGACTTGATGAATTTTAGTGAAATGTTTACCATAGATAGCCAGAGTATAGGGGGCTACCTAATGAGAGGACTCCCGGCTGATAAGGTATTTTCGTTGTTAAGTTATAAAGTCCACAATGAACACTAACAGTCTACGCTATAAATATTTCGATAAAATTTGCTGCGGGGAGGTTTTCAACTCTATGATTCAGTTTGGCCGAAAATATTTCCGCAGAAAAATTAAGAAACTATACATCATTCGACGCAGTTTTGTGCGTTGATTCCGGATATGTCATTTTTATTGAATAAAAACGTTTCTGAACCGAGAAAGAAGGAACATACCTAAAAACCAAGGATTTTTCGAAAATCAATATCTAAGCGCATGAATATCTGCGCTAATTTGTGCTAACTGTAGGGATAACTGTTGTGTAGGAGAACATTCTAGCAAAGTTTTGTTTAGTTCCAAAGAGGGATGTGAAGGGTACTTCGTTCTTAAGTTATAAAGTCCATAATGAACACTAACAGTCTACGCTATAACTCTCTTATACTTCATGTAAGCGAGACCCAGATGATGGTGCTGACCTACATTCATTGAGTACTGTGTACACACAAATTTTGAGACCCATAGCTGTTCTAGTGGCTGAGATCTACGGGGGTGGTGATATTTTTCGCTAATATTGTATATTTATTAAGTGATCGAGAATATTTTTTTTCACTCAATGCAAATCATTTTGAATCATACAAATAAATAAACATCATTAGTTTATCGTCTATTCAATATAAAATTTTTGTACTCGATGATTGTATGTATCGGCGACATATAGATTTCCGTGTCGATCGAATGATAAACCATAGGGATAGTATAACTGATTTGACTGTGCTCCTTGACCATTTCCACCAGCAATTACACTTCCGTGTGTTTCTTGTTTTGGCCAACGCATTATTCGATGATTCCCATAATCAGCCACATAAACAGTGCCCAATTGATCGACAACTATTCCTCGAGGACCTATCAGTCGTGAAAGGCTATCTGCTTCTCCTAGGCCACCTGCTACAACTATGCCTCCTTTTGCACCTTCTTCCCATTTCATCACACGATTATTTCCCGAATCAGACACATATACTGAGTGATCTCGATCGACAAATACATGACTGGCATTATTGAGTTGATCTAGACGACTTCCTGCTCCATTACCTCCTGCCACCACCGTTCCTTCAGTGTCACCCATTCTATATCGTCTCACTTCGTTTTTTGCACCGTCAACGACATAGAGCGATCCATTCCGATCCATTGTCAAACCCCGAGAACGGGTGTTCGAGATGATTGTTTCCCCGCTAGTACCATTTCGACGAGGCCATCGAACAACTCTATAATTCCCGTTATCACAGATGATCACACTACCTGTCTCTTTGTCGAGAATCACATCGTAGGGAGTATTCAACTGATAAGCGTCATTTCCTTGTTCCGTCGCACCAGCAATTACTTGGCCACTAGTTGCACCCCGTTTCCATTCCACAATACGGTGATTAGAATGATCAGCGACATAGATTGTTTGATCATCATCGACATACAAGCCTGTTGGGTCACTGAGTTGATTGATTCCACTGCCTCCTCCAATTTCTCCAGCCACAGTGAGACCATACTGCATCCATTTTGCATCCAGATAAATGTCAATACCAGGTGCTCGTAGTGGGACTTTAAAATTAGAGAGAAATAAGTGTCATAATAAGAAAGAGAGAAAAGACATTGAGAGGAGAGAGAGAATGAAGTTTACAAACAGAGTGATTCTGTTCGGAAGGTAAGGCATGTTGCTGAGTTGTCCGGAATCGGAATACATGGTGGACTAACTGGAATCCTTTGAATTTGAGAATGAGAGTGGATAATGATTATCAGAATTGGGAACTATTATTTTACTTTTTCTTTTTACTCCGTCACATCACCGACTGAATCTGTTGTCTGTCCCTTCATTTATCCCATTGTCAGCATATACATCTTTGTTTTCATCTATTAATTCTTCTCTTTGAGAGACGCATTTTGTGCAGTTTTGTTTCTATTCCTTGAACTACTTCCAGTAACTGTCCATCCTGCAAAGTTATAAGAATGTCAATTTCGGTATTCTCTTTCTCTCACTCGATAATTTCGCCATTTTTGGCATTTTGTTTTAATCAAATTTTCCAAAATTGGATTGATCAAAGAATGAAAAACAACGGAGAGAGACAGAGGTAGTCATCGTTTGAGTATCCAATAGAAAACTCATCCTCTTGACTCAAATTCGGAAAAAATATCATTTCTTTTTAGTTGGTATTATTTCTTTTTTCTTATGAACTTTATTAATTAGAAAAAAAATGAAATCGACATTTCGTATTGTTCCTTAAAAACACACAATATTGTTTCCTCGATAAAGTTATATAACTATCGATGATATTTTTCCATCAAAGGACTTCTACCACTACCGAAACTTGATGCGTAATTTAGATTTCTCTTCTACTACAAATAATATGTTCAAGAAACATTTTCCAGGTGTCAAGCTAACATTTCTTTCACTTGAGGTAAATCATGAGAAAAAGACTCATCGATCGATGAACCCCTGGAAAAAAACCAAGATGCATACTCTGGAAAGTTCTATCTTGAAAGCGAGGATAAAAGCGATATCGAAACATTGATTGCAGTGATATTTCAAAAAAATCTCAAAATTAAAAAGCGATTTCTATCAACTTTAAGATATTCAAATCTGAAGAATATGATGAAACTTTGAAGAGCTACCGAGAAATCATATTTTCGAGAAAAAGTGGGATTTTTCAAGACCTTTCTAACGAAATGTTTAAGTCCCAAAGTTTGAAGAACCATCTTACGATTCAGATTCCTCGACTCCAAAAATCGCCGATCAAACTTGATAGAATTTCGCTTCTTTCGAAAATCACTCACCCTGTGACGAAATTATGAAGTTTACAGACTTTCTGCTATTCGACGACATAAGCGCTTCAACTTGGTTTTTAAAGTCAATGTGTTAAAGCATACTCTTTTGACCTTAGGAATGTAATTAAAGTGAAAAGGTCACCCTCATGCGTTAACCGTTATAGTTAATAGTTAAATGATGCCTGTCGCTCGCTTTTGATAAGTATGATTGATCAAGTCAAGCTACCTGAAGTGTACTTTAATTAAGTCGCGTTAAAGAACTGATGCTTTCCCGGTTTAAGCTGCTTGCATTAAAACCAACTTTCGACAAATAACTCATCATAAAAAGGACTGCGAGATAGAACCGTTGTAAAGACTTAGACCCATTTTTTATCTGACATGGTTCTTTAAATTATCTAGTGTTATTAATAAATGGATGAAATCGTAAACGATTCAGTATCTTTGATAAAAACTATAAATGGTTCCTCCGCACACCTTTTGTTTTTAGAGAGTAATTCCGAACTATTTCCCGAGTATTCATAGCTCATCTGGGTCTACAGGATGCTCATCGCCCCAACTCAAAAGCGATTTATCAGTTCTATGTGTTCTCTCGTTGGGGAACGCGAAAAGATTTTTTAAGGAAACACAACAATAGCTTAAAGTTTTCTAGACTTTTCATCGATCCAAAAATTTTCTCATGATTCTGTCGTATAATTTTAGCGAAATTAAAGAATTTAGGACTTCACCTAACCATAACATACATTCGTCAGACTTGAAGACTCTAAAATTTTCGCTGCATCCAAGAAACTAAGATTGACACTCATAAACCGTTTATAACGCAAAAACTTCGAATGCCTTCATCAATCCAACTTCAAGAGACTTGCAGACTTAAACACATTATTATTCTCAGAAGACGAGGGATGTCAGAGTTCCTGCAATTCAGCTATTCTATAGAATTCTATAGAATTCTACGTTAGTACAGACATAGTTGCTAACCTAGAATTCTATACATTTCCGCTTGTCTCCCACTCGGCTAATATATTGCACATGTGTAGTAAGGTAGAATTCTACGTTAGTAGAGATACATTCATTACTGACCAAGTTTGAGTCAAGCGGAAATGTACAGAATTCTATACATTTCCTAGATTTCTGTTTTGAGAATAATTCGGACTAATCATGTTTCAGCTGTGAAAAAGTTGTTGTAGAATTCATAGGGAAAATGTAGAATTCTATAGAATTCTGTAGAATGTCTGAAATGTAGGAATTCTGCCATTGCTGCAGAAGACTGACTTTGAAACACCGACACAGCCTCCGACCGTAACAGACACGAAGACTTTGCAATTTTAAGATCAAAACTTTCTTCATGGTTTTAACTCAAGAAACCTCAGGCATGAAAAATATGCCGATAGAAACGTTAACGTCAGCAAATATACAAGCTTTATAAAGTCACGACTTCGACTGACTTCAAGACTCAATATATAATTCCCTCGGAGATTTAAAGATTTTTGGCTGGATTTTTTACTCTGCATTTAACAGATCTCAGGACTTACTGACTTCAAGAATTTCGGACTATAACTGAGTTCATGAATTTTCCTTCAAGAGTTTTGTTAGGTGACAACCGAAAACTTCTGCTAAGTTTCGCGGTATTTTAAGCTTTTCCTGATGGTTTTTGATGGTTTTTGGGAACTGGAAAACCTATGAAAGGTTTCATGTAATGACAAATTCGAAAAACGTTTTGCTACAATGTAAGAACGGTACCGTATAGAGTGCTGGTTGTGGTTGTTTGGATAGTTGTACTTGTTAGTTGTACTACCTTCTCTGGGTTTGTTGCTTTACTGCTTTTGCCAACGGCATACAAAGTGGCAAATATTATCGTAGTGATGACAAAAACAGTGACAAGAGCACCAAGTACAATAAAAGGTCTTTTGGAACGAGATCCGGATTTGGAGGGCTGGCTGAAACACAATATATTGCATAACTCAACTATGTTCATTTATTCACTCGATAAGAGAAAAACAAAATACCATATACCTGATAACTTCTAACGTTCCTTTACTGAATTGAGTTGTCATTCTTGCAATCGGAGACAAGTCTTACCTAAAAACAGTTACGTAGAAATCTTCCAGTCTTAAAATGAATAAATATGCAAAGTTTTAGTAAAGGACACCTTTATAACGTGTAAACACACATATAGCGTCGTGCACGCTTAATATTTTTGTCATGATAAGACAAAATGAAGACAAACACGTTAGGTCATATCACCATCTGCTTCTCTTCTTCTTACATCATATTATACAGCGTCAGATATAGTAAGGATTTAAGAATATGAATGAGGATATAGACATAGTTATAAAGCGCTAAGTATAGTTAGAAAGATTTAGGTGTAGGAACAAGAGTTTACGTAATGTATTAAAAGGTTAGGGATAGAAATAAGGGTATAAAAGTAAGTCAATAAGACTAATGGTATATATGTATAGGTCAGTACCAATTGCCTCCATTGTATATTTGATCACCTTGGGGCTTGACAACCTTTAGGAGGACATTGCTCTTGTAGTACTTGGCGTTTACTTTTGTGCCAGGCTCAACGAAAACCATCGGAAACTTGCCTTTTTTCGATATTCCGCACCAAACCATTGTTTTTTCATCATATTGAAAGCGCTGAACGGTTCTCATATCTTCCGGTATGTCTTCGAATGATACTACGTATATACGAACGTTTTGACTATTGAACACCTCTTGAACGCTAAAGATCTTCTCATCCGAAAAGACAATTTGGCCAATGTCTTTATCAGCGAACCGCTCGAGCAGGTCTTTGACTCTTTGTAGTCTCTTGATCTTTTGCTTCTGTGTCAGTCCTTGCGCTTTATGTGGTTTATATGCACGGAGGCCCAAGTCTTCGCTTACCAACCTTTGCAAGGTGGTACGCGCCGTTTTCACCGTTTTCGCCATCCTTCTTATTGATTGCTTTAGGTTTCTGTGGAGACGGCATTTTACTTTGTTGATGAGCTCTGGTGTACGAACAGATCGAGGACGCCCGCTCCTTGGCCGGTCAGCAATAGAGCCTGTCTCTATAAGTCGCTTAACAGTACGATAGACCTTAAGTTCTTTAAGCTTCTCAACAATCGCTTTTTCGTCAAAACCCATATTATAATAGCATTTTATAGCCGAACGTTCATCCATTTTTAAAAAAAGAATAATAAGCAAAATAGAGTGTGACTTAATATTAAGTATACGTATAGTATAAGTACCAAGCTTTACTATAATATTGATTTCCACTTTATTGCTTTTGCTTTTCTAGAATAAATACCAAGTTAACTTTTGTATCAGAACTTATGGGCCACCCTGTAATAAAAAACTCAAAAAAAGCTAAAATAACTCTCAAAGGTGCCTTTTCTGACAGAAAGTGACTTACATTTCGTAAATGTTGCTATGCGTCTCTGTCCGAGCCAGTCAGAAACGACCTTTTCTATTTTTAGGCTTGTCGAACTTTTGATGAAACATTGGTTTGTTCACGAAAAAACATTTTCGCTTACTGGAGAAAAATGGCACGATGATGAAGATGGCGATATTGTCATAGGTCCAGACACTCGAATATCTAAGCAATTGAACTCATCTTTGTTAGGCTTATGTAAACCACCTGAAAGCGCAACAAAGATAACCGCGGTTTCAGTCGGTTTAAGCTAAGGACCAGTATCAACTTCTTCATTCTCCTTCTTTGAAATTTGCAGAAAAATCTGACGACTGTTCCATTGG